CCCCCCCCCCCCAGGGACCTGGCTCCCTGGTCCTCATACTTAACCATCTGGTTTTTTGCTGTTTGGATCCTCCATTCACGGGAATTAGCAGCCCATCTTAAGAAAATGGGCATTTTAAGCAGCTAGAGTTATCTTAGAGTTCAAGGGGCGAAAGGAAACACAGGATGATCAACACTAGGGGCCAAGAGCCATGGAGTATGGAAGCCAGTGTCCTAGGAAAGCGAACCAACATGTGGTTTGGAGAAGGGCAGGAGGGGTAGGAAGCAAAAGACCCAGAAGCTAGACTGACCCACAGAGAAAACCTGAGCTGAGACCTCAGGAACTCACAAACCAGTAACTGCACACTGAGAAGCTGCTCTGTGGCAGACCCTTCTCCTCTGCCGCTCCAGGTCTCTGTGCTGTGAGACACTGTCAGAGACGCCACAGCTGCTCAAGGCCCTGCTGTGGATGGGTGGGGGTAGAGGGGGCCTCTGTGCTTCTGAGGGGCCTCAGCTTAGGGGAGAGTGGACCGGAGGTAAGTGAAGGTGAAACCAGGCACCAGAAGCTGGTGAAAGAAGAGCTCTAGAGCTGGATGGTCCCAAGACTCTTGGGCTCCAGGCTAGACCCTGATTGAGGGGACCCTGGCACACTGGGACGCCTGGTCCAAGACCATGCATTTGAAGTGTGACATGAAGCAAGTCACCAAGTACCTGTCCCTGGGCTGTAGGTGTTCTCTGCTATATGGAACATGCCCTGCTGTCGCCCTGCCCCCAGCCACCACCTGTCTCTAGTAGGTCACGCAGTGGAGTGAGGCGTGCAGTTAGGGGAAACTCTTGAGGCTTCTCAGAAGCCAGGACCAGCCAGGTCTGGGAAGGTTACTATGATATCCAACTGGGTCAGGGCTTGTGGTCAGCTTGAAGCTGTGGGCAGAGGAAGACACCCAGTAACCTAATCAGGTGCGGCCAGCGGTCAGGACGGGGGGCCAGGGCGGCGGCATGTTGCCCTCCAGGGCAGCAGGGTTTTAGTCTGATTTGGGGTATTGCCCAGACTCTGTGAGTAAACTCATGCCGGCTTCATGGGCACGAGCCCGTGCAATTACACAGGGCCTGCACTGCTGTCGTGAAATTTTTAATAATTTTTGAAGAAGGGGCTGCATTTCCCTTTTTATGGGGTCTGATTAGACTGATAGTTCTGGCTCTACTTTTATCTGGGGCTTAGATCCGAGAGGCCAGACTTTAGATGATTAGCCCTTCCCCTCACCTTTGTCTCCCCATGTTCTGCTATACTTCCAAGCCTTAGGACCTAGGCAAGTGAGGGGCAGACTTGTCCAGGCAAGTCTGGGAACAGGGTTGATGGAATTATAGTATAGACTCCAGCTAGGGGAGCTGGAGGGTGAGTTTAAGGTCAGGAGAAAGGGTTTGGATCCTTCATAATCCAGCCCAAAGTTCAGCTCAGAGAGTGAGTGGTCCTTCCCCTAGAAGTGCTATTGGCCATGAGGGAAAGGAAGAAAAGGCCACAAAGAAGTTTCCAGAAGATCCTTAAAACAGTCCTCTGCTGCCTGCAAACAGGAGTCCTGAGGTCTGTGGTTTAGATACCGCCCCCGCCCCCCAATTCTTTTGGAGCCCAGAGACAACCAAGCCAACTGAACCACTCTGCTTCATGGGAGAGACTTGGATGGGGGACAGAGTGATGCTGGGGACCATTTTCTTAGCCCACCCAAGAACACCTATCTCTAGAGATTCCAGTCCTTTGAGGGAGGCCACAGCATGTTCTAAGACATTTCTAGGATTAATACAGAGTTCTCTCACAAACTTGGAACCTACTGCCCCCTGACTCTGGCCCACCGGGGTTCTCTCCCTTGCTGACCACCTGGTCTCACACTTCCTTGGTTTAGTACATAATCATTGTCTAAGAGCTTCTGGCGAGTGATTTGTTTTTTCTTAGCTAGACCATAAGCCAATTTTGAGGGCTAAGACCAGGTCCTCAACTTCTCCATTTAACACAGAATGTAGTGCCTTCATGATAGAATCGCATAGCAAGAGATGAATAAATATACATTGGTTGGTCAACCAGCAATGGCAGCCTCCTGACATTAAGAAAACCTCCAGGGTTCTCTGCCATCTAGCCCCGTATGCCAGCCCTGAGAGATAAGGAGAGGGTGGAGAGGCAAAGCGGCTGCTCCCGGCCGTGCAACGAACCAGGGAGGGTGTAGGACCTGAAGCTACACCTGCAGCTCCCGGTAAAGGGTGCCTGTTTAAGGCAGCAGCTCTGTGTACCTGCTTTGTCCATGGGTGGGCCAGTGGGTCTGTCTTCACTCTGTCCACCCAGAGTGGGAGGGGACTCCATAGCTATCCCCTCTTCCTTGGGCCCTTGGCACAAAATATTTAGAATTTCAGGGAGGGCCTGGGTAGCTGTGAGCCATCTGTCCCTACTCACCAGGTCCTCCGGGTTGTAGTTGATGATGAGGTCCATGTCCATGGTTAAGGGGTAGTTCATAGTTGTAGCTGTTGTCACCAAACTGGTCACTCGCTGTCTGATGTTGAGAAACTTTCCGCCTGATACCTTTAGAGAGGTGGCAGCCGTCAGCTGCAAATTTAAACAAATGAGCTGTGCGTTGTCTCCTGAGGCTGTGTAGGACCCGCTGCCTGCCTCACAACTCATCATTTTTTTTTTTTTCCACTGGGTCTTTTCTGTGTGTGTGTGTTTTGTTTTTTTTTGAAGAAAGAGGGAAAATCCCCATAGCTTCAGTGCTAGTCAAGCATTTCAGCTTCTTTCCTGGCAATAGTCTCATTTGGGGCTTGTGACTTGTTTAAAGACTGCCCCTCACTTCTCCTCCTGTGCCTCCACCAGCCGTCCAATAAGGGAGGCATACCTTGTCATGAAAACCACCACACTAGCCGGCGGGGCAATGAGGGAAACTCCACGTAGAAAGGGAACAGGCAAGCCCTTCCAGGACCACTCCTCCAAGCCCTCACCAAACCTTCATCTTTCTTGCCACTAGGGCGCCCAATCATCCAGTTTGCCTGGGACTGAAAGTCCCTTGTCCTGGGAAACCCCTAAGTCCCAGGCACACTGGGACCCTCGGCCACCCTACTTGCCACCATCCTTTTGCCCAGGCTGGGGCACAACCCGTTCCCTGTTTAGCTCAAGTTCAGAAGAAACAGGTTAGATATTTTCAAAGAGAACAACACTAAAATGTTACTAGAAGACAAAAATGAAATTACCCAAATTTTTAAGTACAAAAACAAAACAGTGACAGAGTTATTTTCTGACTCAAAAAATAATGATGTTCTAGCTACAAATGAACTTGGTTAGCATATAGATTATTAACATCATAGACTGACTACTCGGCTAGAGTGCACTTTTGCTCAGAAGGACCCCGAGGACCAGAGGAGAGTGATGCCCCAGGGCCCACAGCTAACCAGAGGCAGGCCGGGACTTGAACAAGCTTTCCTGGCTCCAGGTTGGGTGTCCTCCACTACACCAGGCTGCCACTCTTACAGGCCCATGTAACCCCTTTCCTTTCCCTCGACTCTGTCTTGTCTGAGGACTCCTTCATTGAAGAAGCCCCTTTGTAGACATTGATCAGTTTCCCCTCAAGTCTCATCTTTGTGGCTGTTTTTTTCAGGAGAGGGAATCTTTTCTTTTGGTCCAATGATGTAAAAACAATGCAGAAGCGCCCACACGTGACCTGCTGCCACATTGCCCCACCTCGGCCCTGTGATCAACCTCCCCTTCAGCCTCATTGCCGTTTGCTGGGATTCCCGCCTTCCCAGAACCCTTCCTCACCTTCCCCCCATTCATCTTCTCCTTTTTCTCCTATACACCTTACTTATAACCCTCACTCGACCCCCAACAGATACATCTTCTTGGGCTTCAACAACTTGAGGAGTTTTCAGCCTCTGTCTGTGCTGTTGGGGTCCTTCCTCTCTTCATTCACTGCCTTCAGCAACTGCTTTCAGGAGGAAGTCCCAGGACAGGTGTGGGGGTTCCTCTCCCACACTCCAGCCCTGAAACCTTTGTGAAGATGTGCCCCCAATGTTTCCTGCATCCCAAGCTTGCTGTGTCCTCCTCATTCTTCCCCCACCCTCAATATTCCTGCCCCTCCAATCCATTGATATATTCAACTTAGCTTTTGCTACTCTAAGGACATTGATCAGGAAGGAATATAGTGTATAAAATCATGTAGGAATTCGATGATTCATGTAGGAAGGTCAAGGTTCTTGTCACTAGATCCTTATCAGCGATCACCCAGTATTGAACAAACACCACTTGTTCCTTTCAAGAGATGGTGTTTTCCTGTAGGGTGATTTACTCACTAGAAACTTACCCCTCATGCTGAGTCAAAATATGTCTCCAGAGGTCCTGGCTCTGCCTTATGTCCAGGCTGCCTAACTCCTCTTCAATGAGCATCGTCTGAAGACAGATAGCACATCCTCAGCAGTCTTCTCTTCTCCAGAATATCCATTCCCAGTGTCTTCAGCCAGTCTTCAAAGAACATAGCTCTGGGTCACTTGTCAGCCTGTTCTTTGACTTCTGTGTGATTTATGGTTAATGATCTACATCTAAATAGGACAAAATATAGAAAGATAAGAGTTTTCTTACTCAAGATTCCATACTTAAATGAGTGTAAATAAAATGTTTTTTCCTGCCTGGCTGGTGTGGCTCAGCCGTTGAACATTGACCTATGATCCAGGAGATCGCGGTTCAATTCCTGGTCAGGGCACATGCCCAGATTCGATCCCCGGTGGGGGTGTGCAGGAGGCAGCGGATCAATGACTCTCTTTCATCATCGATGTTTCTCTCTCTCTCCCTTTCCTTTCCTCTCTCTGAAATCAATAAAGATATATTTTAAAAATAATAATAAAGATATATTTTTAAAAAATAATCTTTCCTGTGGACTCTCACTTTCCTTGATAACATGCCTAACAACTTCATTTTGATGGTTCTAGCCCATGATATCAGTTTATAAAGGGTAACTTTTGAAATCCCGAGTCAGTCATTTGGTGGTGTGGTGATAACTAGGGAAGCATGTGTCTATCCAAGTCCTGATGGAAAATATTGACAGGACAGTGCCAAAGCAGAACCCTACTTCATGCCACTAGAGACCTACTGTTCCCGAAGTTCAGGGAAGACTTCATGGGAGAAGTAGGACACGAGCTGGACATTGAAGGTCTGGAGAGAGTGAAGACTTGATGTACCTGGAGAGGAGGGTGCATGGTAGGGGGCGTGGGAGACGATGAGAACTGTGTGAGCAAATGTGTGGAAAGATTACTCAAGATGTGGGGGGTCTAGCTACGGTAGTGATGATGATGATGATGTTGGGGGCAGCCATTGGAGGTTGGTGTGTGTCCTGGGCAATGTAGGAGTTGCTCCTGTGGCCTTTTCCTCTCCTTTTCTCAGTGGTCCATTTCCCTCGTGTGGTGCAGGCCCAGCAAAGGGCTTTGGGGGACACTCGGGACTGCTTTTCAGGTGCAGCAGCAGGCTCTGGCGGTAGTTTTAGCTGTGATGGTGTGGGGCAGCAAGCCATCGCCTGTTTCTCAGTGGCCGATTGGGTTTGATGGAGCAGAACTCCTCTCCAGCCTCCTGACTTCCTGGTGCTTCTTGTACTATGGACCCATTAAGATATCCCTTTCTGTCACTGTAGATCCTGGGACATACTACAGGTTCCTGAGGCCCACTTGTCCCAGGCACTGACATTTGAAGGTCAACTCAGTTTGCCCTAAATAGGTAAATACCTATTGACCATGAATTCTAATGTTGTTTTAGAAGGTTCAGAGAATAACTAACTGCCTGTGATTGAAAAGATGGTATTATAATCTTCAAACCCAAACCCAGACTAGCCCCCTAGTGTAGAGGGGCAGTGCCTAGGACTTGATCCTTTGACTTGAAAGATGAGAAGGAAAGGGTCCCACCTGTGTGTGACAGTCAGGTGGGGAGGGTGCTTCCAGGTGAGGCAGCCCAAATTTTACTTCAATAAGCAACTTGTTTATATTTCTACTATGTGATATCCCAATTCCCACCCAGTGGACAGCCTACCTGAGGTTAAGTTGTTTTCCAGGCTTCTCATAAAAACAGCCACTGGTGGTTCTGTCAAGAACAGGCTGTGTGTCCGCCTTGGGCAGACGGTTGCTTGACATGGGCTCAGGTGGATTTTTTTCAGTGATTTTACTTCACAGGTCATGGGATATATTAAATTTCTATTTATTCCAAATACTAGATACAATCACTAGTCTTGGAGTTCATTTCCCATGTTCTACAGAAAAATTAAGTTTTCTGCAGAGTGATGGGGTGCAAAGAATCGGTTGGGGTTCCCCCCTATTTCTTTCACTAACCTGGGCCTCTCTCTCTCTAACCTGGCAGAGGGCTTGTTCCCTTCTCTCTCTGAGCCTCTTACTACTGCTCAGAAGGGAGTGCCATGAGGAGCAGCCTGAGGAGGTGGTGGGCATTCCTCCAGGCCCCAAAGAGAGCAACAGGAACATTTACATAGCATTTACCTATCTACAAAGGCCTATAAGGGTTAACTTCAGTTTTACCTAATCTTCATATTTAATCACACATTGAATTATGTTTAATCCTCAAATGCCTCGGTCGTACTTTTAAAAAAGGTTTTTATTGTTGACACTGTTAAAGATGCACCCCATTTCCTGGCCATACTTTTGAGGGGGTGAGGAGACAGAGGCCCAGTTCCTCACTCGTGACTACAGGGAGGGTAATCACCCGGCAGGGTTGGAAGGCCCCTCTGTGGACACCAAGCTCGGGGCTGTCTCCGCCAGACCACACAACTTTCACTCACAGATTTAGTTTTGCAAAGGACGGGAACTTGCCCAGCTGGCTAAGGGCAAGCCCTCTACAGGCTATTCACCAGGCTCTCACTAAGCGCCATGACCTGTGCTGAGCTCTTCATACAGATCATTTCCTTTCATCCCCTGAACAGTCGCGAAGTGATATTTTTATCACATTATCACACGTGTGGAAACTGAGCAGTAATGGGAAGTAGTTGTGAGTGTTGGCAGCTCAGTCAGACGCCAGGGCCCAGCAGCTCAGAGCAAACCAACACAGGAAGCGGAGCGAGCGAGTTCTCAGGCTGGAGCCAACGCCCACGCGCTCCTCTCTTACTAGGCAGCAGGTAGGAGTCCGTGGGGCGGAGGAAACGGGCTGCAGGTGCTGGGTAGAGACATCACCTTCACCCCAAGGTTACAGGGGCCATGAGTGTGTCTGGAAACCTCGGCCTGGGGCAGGCTGTGTGCTTGGGTTAGAGTGAGTAGGTGCTTGTGTCCTGGTACAGCTGAGCCCCAGCCAGAGGGCGGGTGTGAAGATCAAGGGAGGTGGCACTCAGGCTCTGTTTTGGGAGCACTTTGTCTCACAGAGGAGAAGGAACACACATGTATGCAAGTGTGCACACTCCACACATGCGACTGAGAACCTTCTCGAAGCAGTGCTGTGAGTGTACTATACGAACCCAGTGTGGGACAAGATCAGAGTGTGGGAGGCAC